AAAAAGTCTTCTCTCCCCCACCCTACCCACGCTTGTTTTCCATTCTACCGGGTGCAAAACCTCAGGATCCCTCGGTTCTCTAAACAGCTGGGCCTCCATCCGCAAGACAAATGGCTCCCGCCTTCTCTCTCTACCAGCCCCCTGCTTTGAGCAGAAGGCGGTATAAATTATTCACTGCCATTTACAAAAAAAGCTTGAATTACTCAGCGTCGCCGTGACTGGCTTTGGAGATGCATCACACTCCCAATCCAGTAATGCAGTTAACAACAGGATTTAAGAAAGATAAAACGAAGCGTCAGTTGCACTTTTTGGAGTGAAGCGTTAAGGATATATGCATTATTTCATTTTTTTTTTAAAAGGCTTGGAACATTAATGCGCAGCTGCTATTTTTGGCAGACGACAGATAACGTTCCTTTGAATTCAGGAGAAGGGTGGTTTTGCATGAAATGGCACGCACGGTCTTGCGACGCGGGAAGAAAGCTGTTAGCAATGTTTGGTTCATTTTTCTCTCTCTCTTTTAAAAAAAGAGCAGAGACTGAACGAGATTCGATTACCAGCTTGTCTTTTTGCCTTTCCCCGTGGATCAGGAATCCGTTTCTTCCATTGCCCTCGGGGTACATAACCTTGCAGACGCCGACTCGACTAAGACCGCCTCCTTCCTGCGGAAGCCATCCCCCACTGGAGTCATCTCGGGTCATAACCACGGCTTTCACTCTAACGATATAGCTGTCACTGGAATGGACAAGAACGGGGAAGAGTTAGCTCGGACAGGGAACCGGACACATTTTAGCATCCTACTCGAGGTATGAAATCGACATCTACAAAAGATCACCAAACTTCCACAGATGAAGACATTTTTTAACGGAATTTCCCCCCCTAAGTGCCAGGACTGAAACACAGAATAGGGTCTTGCTGCTATCCAAACCCATGACGTCCCGCGATATCAGAAAAACTCTTAACTGACTTGGGTGACTTGCAGACACCGATGCTCCCTCTAAGCTGTAGAGTCTTGTGAGCAAAAATTCTACTTTGTGAGCTCCTGGCATTAAAGTTGTGAGCGAGCAATTTGGCTACTGCATAAATTAGTTTGCTCCGGAGCCCATCCTTCCTGAGCTAAGACAAAAATGTGTGAGCCGGAGGCTACAAAACTGTGCGCTAGCTCACACTCCCACTAACTCAGCTTAGAGGGAACACTGGTAGACACCCTATTTTCAGATTAAGTGGTATCCGACCAAAATTATTCCCCCCCCCCCCCCCAATCTAAGTCCTTCTTTACAATGTCCACTTTCTGGACAAACGCCTGTTAGCCATGGGTTTTGATTCCTGCTTATTTGCAATCTGCATTCTACATTCCCCCAAAAGTACAATCCCAAAGTCCTTCTTTACAATGTCCACTTTCTGGACAAACGCCTGTTAGCCATGGGTTTTGATTCCTGCTTATTTGCAATCTGCATTCTACATTCCCCCAAAAGTACAATCCCAGGGTCTGCCCAGAGATCGCCTGCCACATTCTTAATTCCACAAATAACACATGTTCAAGATTTGCATGAGATCCGTCACATTTCTAGCTCTCATATGTGCAGAGATTTTCAGTGCCCTCCTATGCAGAAGAGCAAAATTTGAGTCCAGAGGAACCTTAAAGACCACCAAGGTTCCCAGGACATGAGCTTTCAACAATCAAAGCTCCCGTCATCAGAGACCAACGGAAACTATCCTAAGCGCAGTTACTCTAGACTTGGCTCACTAGAATCGACGAGCTCAGACTGGAGAAACTCTGCATTAGCATGCTGCTTAGAACTATGAAGGAGCTGCGATGGCTCAAGTGGTTAAGACGCTGAACTGCAGGCTGTGGAAGGTCAGTAGTTCAGCAGTTCGAGACCCGGGTGCCGCAAGACGGAGCGAGCTCCCGTCTCTAGTTCCAGCTCCTGCCAACCTAGCAGTTCGAAAGCAAGAAATTGCAAGTAGATAAATAGGGACCGCATCGGTGGGAAGGGAACAGCGTTCCGTGCGCCTCGGTGTTTAGTCATGCCGGCCACGTGACCACGGAAACGTCTTCGGACAGCGCCGGCTCTTCGGCTTTGAAACGGAGATGAGCACCGCAACCCTAGAGTCGGACTCGGCTGGCTTTCGTTTTTGGTGGCCTAGGCAACCGATGACCCTTGGCACCCATCCAGTTCAGCATTCTATTTTCTACAGTGGTCCACCAAATGTTTTTTGGGAAGCCAACAACCATCACACAAACGGCACTGCTGCCCCCACTATGAACCCCAAAGCAAGTGGCATTCCGACATAAGAACATAAGAGAAGCCAATGTTGGATCAGGCCAGTGGCCCAACCAATCAAACACTCTCTGTCACACAGTGACCAAAAATACCAGGTGCCATCAGGAGGTCCACCAGTGGGGCCAGGACACTAGGAGCCCTCCCATTGTTGTATGGCAACATACACAGCTTTGGCCTGTGGAGGTTAGATTCCAGCCTCTGACCATCCTCTGCTTCTCCAAAACTCCCTCTAATCCTCCATAAGATTCTAAGAAACTCACTCTAGGAACCATCAACACACATTTCACTTTTCTGACGTGTATATGCAGTCAAGGAAAAAAATGGAAGAAATTGTTTCCAGGTTCAGATCTTGAGTTCCAAAATACGAAAGAGGGCAATGGAACGACTAGGGGGCAGCCATTCAGGAGGTCTGGCCCACCACCCACTTGCAGAGGCCTCGTGACCCACTTTGGGGTCCCGACCCCCAGATCGGGAAGCACTACCCTGGCTACCCAACCCCCAGAAATATTTGTGCAAAAAAACCATACAGTGCATTTCCTTAACTGCGCTTCCTCTCTTTTTAAAAATTAAAGTTGATTCATTTTAGCAGTCCTGAGGTATTGATTTTATATAATGCTTTCATGGTGTTCTGAAGTAGATTCAATGCATTTCCTTTGGAGGAGGAAAAAAGGGTTTAGAAAAAACAACACACCAGGCTTGCAACTACTTATATCGTATTACTTCAGCCGAAAACACAAATCGTGACCCTGTCTGTCTTTCGAAATATGTACCCAGAAAATGCTTCCTGGAATGTTTGCATTATGCCCCTTAGCAATTAAAGGGGTTGAGCCAAGATGCAGGATATACAAGCAAAATGATATACGTTTTTTAAAAAAAGTTTATTATTTTCATCATCAACAAACAAAAACAAACAAACATAAATACATATAAACTACAACACTGTTTTGTCCAGTTATGTTACCTCATAAAATATCTGCTTGTATACTGTTTATTTGTTCCACCATGCATTTTTTATAAATGTATTTTTGCATTAGTGTTAAAAATATAGTTCATATTTTTTTCTACTTCAGATGTATCGCCATATAGTTTATTTACTGCACTCTTCCAACCATTTGTAAAATCTTAACCACGTATTTTCAAAACTTCCTTCATCTTGACCTCTCGGAAATAAAGTCAATTTACCCATCTCTGCAGTTTCAAGTATTTTGTTTATCATTTCTTCTTTTGAAGGCACTTCATCTTTCCTCCAATATTTAGTATATAAAATTCTTGCAGTAGTCAGTATATGTATAATAAGCGAAAAGTCTTGTTTTTTTACATTTAACTGCCTTCCCTGAATTTTTGTTGTTCAGTCGCACAGTCGAGTCCGACTCTCCGTGACCCCATGGACCAGATCACGCCAGGCCTTCCTGTCTTCTGCCGTCCTCTGAAGTTTGCTCAATTTCACGTTCGTTGCATCTATGACACTGTCTGACCATCTCATCCTTTGCCGTCCCCGTCTTCTTTGACCTTCAGTCTTTCCCAGCATCAGGGTCTTCTCCAGTGAGTGCTCCCTTCTCATTGGGTGGCCAAAGTATTTGAGCTTCAGTTTCATTATCTGGCCTTCCAGGGAACAGTCAGGGTTGATTTCTTTTAGGACTGACTGATTTGATCTTCTTTCAGTCCAAGGGACTCTCAAGAGTCTCCTCCAGCACCATAGTTCAAAAGAATCTATTCTTCGGCGCTCGGCCTTCCTTATAGTCCAGCTCTCGCAGCCATACATGACTACTGGGAATACCATTGCTTTGACCATGCGGACTTTTGTTGGCAGGGTGATGTCTCTACTTTTTATCATGCTGTTTAGGTTCACCATCGCTTTCCTCCCAAGGAGCAGGCATCTTTTAATTTCATGGCTGCGGTGATCTGGGATCCCAGGAACGTGAAGTCTGTCACCACTTCCA